ACACAAGAGTAAGATTTTATTTTAAGCTTTTATGCAATTGTCTTTATATACACTGCTCATAAACACATAATTAGGGCAACATTTTTAAAAAATAAAATTAAAATATGTTACAGTAGATGCTTGAATTTTAGTATATGATTTTTATCTATAATTTGTTAAAATAATATGTTCTGAAAGATTTTGCATGTGCAGCCCTTGTGACAACTCACCAAAACTCATTAAAAGGCCCGCCAGCCAAAATAATTGACCACTGCTGGACTATGGCCTACTTGTGAAGTAAGATACTACTTAACCAAATATGGGTGATAGAATAAGGTTTTAGATAACTGGTCTAAAAACAAGCCATTTCTACTTTAATAAATATGTTGATTAATTACCATTTCAGGCAAATTACGTAGATATAAAAATTCAAATACTACTGACAGTAAAATACCATATTTATTCAAATAGAATATGAACCTGATTATAAGATGGCCCCCCCAATAATTAGATCCTATATATGAACAATTTATAAATTTGTTACAATTTTTCAGGTATAGAACCTAATTATTGGAGGTTTGCCTTTGATTTGTCCTACTTGCACTGCCACAGGAGGAAAAGTAAGCCAGGGGATCAGGTAGCCCTTTGCTTTTTACCTCCACATAACTTTTATCCTTGGCAGCCTTTTTCACTTTCCCTTATAATCAAGACCCCAAACACATACAAGTGAAAATTAAGTCTGAAAACAGTAACCCTGAAATTAAACATAGCTGCTGTTTATACATGATAAACAAAGACTTTGTTCTTCTTACTAAATAAGTATGCAAAAGCTATAAAGCATGTATCATATTAATCTAAAAGCAAAAGGCTTATGATTTATTACACAAGTCATTGAGGTGGGCCCCACCAAAGTCAACAGCATTTCAAGTCATGGTGAGCTATGACTCCATACCCAGAATTCCTTTGTTGCACCCTCTCTCAGCCTGATGCATATTATTAATGTGGCCCCAAGCTTGGGGATCCCATAGCTCACTGCTCAATCTGTCCGCCACAATGGATCCACATGCTAATTAGCCCCCAGCCATGAATGAAACCAGATGCTCCTGTCACAAGTCCTAGGCTGCTCCAAAAAATTTATGTGCAGATGAGGCACTGGGCAACCTGGCACAGTTTCACCTCATGGAGGGTGGGGCCATACTAATCATATGCACTAGGCTTAACGTGGGCTATGTGTTTTATAATAGTGTTCACTGTTGACTGCATTTAATTAACTTCACAGTTGGCTTTCATTGTTGAGCACAGACTGCTTGCAGATGTAAAAAAAAAAAAAAACACCCCAAAAAACAGAATCAACAACAACAAAAGAGCACACTTTACTGGAAGAAGCAGCACATTAATTCGACTCAGCTCTGCAGCATCTATACAGATCAGGTGTTTCAGCAGGGCTTTTTGGTACTCTCAGCTAAAGCTGATTAAATCAGCTATTAGGTAAAGAAACACTAAAAAGCCACACTAAAGCACCCAATTTGTACAGATATTCGGCAAGTCAGGTCCAGCTGATAATATACTGCCTCTTCTGGGCATGAACTGGGTTTGGTGCGGGAGTGCGTGGAATTTAAAAGTACCCGGGGGGGGGGGGGGAGGGGGGAGCGGTTTAAGCATCTGCAACCCGCCGTACTGCTTTTGGCAGTAGTTTAATGATAATGTATTTAGTGATATTTCTTTGTATGAAATTATGAGGAACTCTTTACCCTAGGCCAATTGGGGGAAAACACCTTTTCTTGGAATCAAGTAAATATGGTAGTTAAAACTTCAGAAATTTAACTAACACTGGGTGCATTTACATATATACCTAACTGTGCAGTAGACTTATTTGCTGCAGTGTAAAGCATCACATTCTACATGTACAATGCTACTGGACCACTGCAAACTAATTTTTGCCAGGGACACTACCATCTTAGGGCAGATAAAATAACTGCACCTAAACGTGTAAATGCTGACCTGAGTATACATTGCACCTGGTCAGCCCAGGCGGTAGAGGGCCAGATCCCTGCCTGCTGCCTAGTCACAAGGCTCCACGTGCTGGGGCACTCTCATGCTCCAGTCAGCCCCAATGCCACCTCCTGGAGCCTGAGGCTGACCCCCAGGGCTCCTTCCAACCCAGAGCTGCTCCACCCTGGTTCAAGCTGCTGTGGTCCTGGGTGCAGCATCTGCATGTGCACCTTGGACTGCAGCAGTTTGAGCATCTACACATGCTGTTAAGGTGCCGTAATAAGTTCCAGCACAAGCTGTGCTGGAGTTCATCATGTTGCCTTAATGGCATGTGTAGATACACCCACTATGAACAAACTTGGACTAGTACTAGGAACCCATACTCAAGAATACTGTCACCTTCTCGATGACAAACTATTTACCACTACGTAATTTTGGTGCAACTATGCTTTAGTTTTGCAACACTTGCATATACAACCACAGCAAAGGATGTACCACAATTTTTTAAATCTACAAAAAAAAAAAAATCAATTAGATCCTCCTTTTCCATAATTTTACTTCACATTAAATTATGTTACAGAAAGCAAACCAATGTTTCATCTTTCCTTTCAAAATCATGATTCAAATTTCACATTTACTATAATGATAATCATTCGTTTGCCAAAAGATGGCGCTGACAGCTTTAGCATTCAGAATTTTTGCGCATGTATGTTACATAGTGCTTTATTGATTAAAGAGGGGAAATAAGCTTTAAATAAAATATTTTAAAGAAGTTTCTGTTTCGTTTCTCTCTTATTCTCTCACTTCAAATATCCAAGCAAGAGACCTGTCATAAAAAGCCCACAATCTACTTTTCCAATCAAAACACAGGCCCTGCAGTAAGCACTGTAAACAAGCTGCTATTCTTCTGTCTAATCAGGACTTGTATCACTTAATATTCACTCTTCTTAACCAAATAAAAATAAAAGGGATATTTTTAAATAATATTCTCTCTCTAAAATGTCTCACCTTTCTAATTTGGACCTAAAAAAACAGATTTTGCAAAAACATGCATTTCTTGAACATGGGGCCTGATTTTCCATGCACTTGTGTTGCTGTAACAGTGTCCTTAATTGAGTTATTCCTGAAGTACTTGGCACAAAAAGGAAAAATCAGGTTTATTGTAGATGTTTTCTTAACACTTTTCTTGCAAAAAACTTTGGCTGGGTTTCATTAAAGCAAGTACAAGAATGTACTACTAGAGGTCCTCACCTATGGTCTGCAATTACATACCAAACACAATATTTGGCAGTTAATACACTGTATTTGAACGTCATGCAAGCAGGATGTGTTACATGCTAATAGTATAAACTGAAATAGAAATCAAATAGATGATGAATAATTTATATTTGTAGGCAACAATGTATTCGGGAACATCAAGCTGGATGTTTGCAACATAAAAGCAAGCGTGAGCTGCTATGGCTCTCACACACTGATGGCTGCCATGCATACATATCAGTTACTTTTATGAGACACTCTTCACATGCTGCATTATCTGTCTTTCCACATTAGCAAGTAAGACTAATCACAATCAATACCACACAGAGACCACAACACAAATAAAACAATATGATGCTTCTATGGTTTTTGCTGTCATAGAAACCTGAAGGGAATGAGTTATAAACCAGCTAGTTAAAACAGCTAATCTTGGTTTGAAATAAAGAGGGGAAAATGCCTAATAAATATTGACTTTCCACACAGTTCTTCAGAAACCACTTACTACTCTTCCTGATTTAGAGAGAAATTGATAATGGAACTACAAAAAATTCAATTTTTAAATCATTATAATCTGATCATTAGGATGAAAAATAAAATGGGTAGAGCTCCCCTTCATTAAATACTTTATGAAAGCCAGTTGCATAAAAAATAAAACACCTGAAATCACTGTTATATCCATTTTTGCTTATATCAGTTTAGAAGAATTAATGCTAAATTGATCACAATTTGTTTAATCATTAAAGCTGCTATCTGAGATTCAAACAATAAACTGTATTTTTCCCAGGAGACTATAACCTCCCTTTGAAATGAAGGGAAAAATGTATTAGCTAGGTAATCACTGAGACTTTATATATATAAAAATGCAAAAGAAGTCTCCATAATCAGGAAGACTTTTTGCGAAATAGTTTCAAGCATCAATTGATATTCCCTTCAGATTTTGCTAATGTGGATCACAGCTCCTACCTTGAATTTCATTATTTAAAATGAACCCCTAACCCACCTCCTGTATGTTCTTTTTCCCAGCTTCCCTCATCATGTTTAGGTTGCTGTAAAGAGAAAGGTCTGTTCTCTGGTGGCCTCAAGGTAGATTCTAGTCTGTGAAATTTGTGAATTCTGTCTCTGACAAGAATAGTATTGTCCCTCTCATCACGATTTGTAACCTCTCTTGCATCAGACCAGCCAAGATCCTTCTTTTGGACTACATTAGCAATCTCAGCTACAAGATCTGATTCTGCCTTTTCTGTAGGGTTATACTTATGGACATGAACAACATCTTCCCTTTCTCCTAGCAGCTTGGAAATGAGTGAATAGAAATCACCTGTACAGAAAAGAGAAAAGATAAAAGGAAAGGGGGAAGATTATAACAGATAGTAAAATTTTCTAATTTTTTTAACCCAAGTACAATAATCAAATTATTCATATGGTCATCATAGCTAGTGTACGAGGGAAATCTTTACAGTCTCACAAATTTGAATGAAGAAAGCCTGTGGTAGGAAGAGATAATATTACAATTTCATGATCTTTAATTTACATAACAATGTCCACTTATACCTGACATTTTAAAATCAAAAAAGCATATCACCTCCATATTGATATTCATGAGAACAAAAGAAAGTCTACATAATTAAAAAACATGTTTACAATGAATTCCATTAGATTTAAAAGTCAGAGCATTGAAGACTTTTTATATTGTGTATATATTATATAGAAAAATTGCAAAAATTCTTCAACCCTGTCAATTTTTCATTTGCAAAATTAGTCAGTTGCTATATACTTAAACAATATCTCCTTGTAAATTTTACTGATTGAGAAGAAAACCTAATATGCAACAGTTTCCATATAACATTGTGTAAAAAGGCAGAATTAATAGTTAACAAGGTAACTTGTATGCGATCATGGTCTTTAAGGTATTTAAACTAGGTACACATTGGTAAAAGGAAATAAAAAAAAATCCTTCCAATCCTTCCTCAAAATCTCTCCTAAGCAAAAAGAAACAATTACCTCTACAGTTACATCATAAAGTGGCAAGCCTTCTAAAACGATGATGCTAAAACAAAGACAAATAAAAATGTATTCCAAGTGCAAAATACTTATGTTCTCACCAAAAATTGCTTGAAATGCTTTTAATTCAATTCATTTATGTTTGATGTGGTAGAGAGACAAAATAGTAGCAAAAAAGGTTCTCTCCAGGGATTCTATTCCCAACTACTAAATACCTCACTAGCGTACAGTTGCCCATAGTTACTGAGCATTTTGTTGCCCTGGACCATTGCCTACTGCATGCGTTAGACACAGCTAAAGCTACTATTTGTTTTTGGAAGAGACACTGAACTAATAATTTTTGCCTTTGGTGTGAATCAGTATGTAAGGATCTGTTCTTTATTAGGTGTACTTAAAATGAATTCTCTTAATTAAGGATTTGCATTGCTTAATTTTTAAGATACCTTGTTGTATCAGATAATGCAAAACCTTCACTTTTTTTTTTTAAGAATAGGAAGTCAAAATGATAACTGGCTAAGATTCAATTCTTTTACAGAAAATTCATCATAAAAATTGCTGTATGGGGGAAATTAAGTCTTTCTAAAGTCACCTTAAAAGATTCTGTCATATTTATAAACAGTCCTGGTTCAATGATTTCAACTAGGCTTCCAATCCCTGCCCTTGGAAGAGAAATATCCCAGGTGAAAACTTCTGTCAGAAAATAATTACTGAAGTAATAGGGCCAATTTCAGTAAAATGAACAAAGCAAATTAGACCTGAACAAAATTTGTTAAGCCATATAAGCCAGTATGCCTCATAAAACCTACTCTAAATGACAGCCTCCTGCCAATCAATTAACTCATCCAAATGCTGATTCAGAAGACCAAAACCAGATGTTTGAACACTCAGTTGTATAAACAGCTTGGGATTCAACTGGGCCAGAAGTCTGAATGTCAATGGCTGCATTCTTCACAATAACTGCAAACGTCCTCTAAAAGTGTAAGTATAAGTGTGCTTGCACATGCGATGGGGAAACCCACTGTTTTAGTTTAGGGAGAACTAAACCCCTGTAGCATGTACAAAAGATGAGGGGCCCAATCCTCAGGAGGTGTGTGACCTGGTGGCAGCTTGTGCAGGCAGGCTCAGCTGAAGGTGGGGGGAAGTGGTGAGAAGCCTGATCTTTTTTATTTTTTCCTCCTGGAGCCTGGCTTCCTGCCTGGGCCCCAGTGCTTTCCTCCATGGTGCTGGTGCCCCCCAGGACTGCCTGGGCTGGGTGCCAGTAGGGAGTGCCACCTGGGGGGCACTGCCACTGGAGGGAAGCACTGAGGTCCTCCACAGCTCAGGGACTACTTGGCCTGCTTGCAGCTTGCCCCCCTCCCCTGCACCATCCCGGCCACCTTCCCACCACCTGGGACTGCCTGGGAACGGCTGGCTTGCCCTTAGGGCAGAGTGACAAGGTGGCAGGAGGGTGGCTGGGTGTGCTGGCAGTGGGAGAAGGCAGCCAGGATGGTGCACAGAGCACTGGAAGCCTGCCAAGCTCGAGCTTCCCCAAGCATGGCAGCTTCCAGCGCCCCGTGCACTGTTGGACTTTGTTAGGGAGCAAACTAAAATACTTCGGATGGATTTTATTTTGCTACGTTACAAAGTCATTTAAAGCAGAATATGCTGCCGATCATGTAAGTAGCAACACCATTAGAGTGGTGCAAAAGGGCAATTAGGCTGCTTTAAAGACCCATTTTGTTGCATGTACAAAGGGCCTAACTCTTACTGACATTATACATTCTTAAAAGCACTCTAGTAGTTTCTACCAGTTAAGCCTATTTATAAATTTCACACTGGTTACTATTTCCAGATACTAACAATTACTTGTAATTACTGCTTTCTGAACATTAAAAAATTAACAAATTACCATGCTTCAGGTTCCCAACACACAAGTTATTCCTTTAAGATCCAAATCATCACTGCCCCTGTAAGAGGCACTGTGCACCACCTTGATGGTAAAGATGCCATCGTGGAACACATCATGGAACAGTTACTTCCTTACTTCCTAGAACTAGGCAATTAAGGAGCATGGTTTTTTTTCACATATGTATATAAATATCAAACAGGAGAACTGAGGTGCACAGTGATGTGAACTTATCTGACTGCACAGAGTTAAGGAAGATACGGAACAAACAGGAAATGTAAAATTGGTACTGATAAAGTACAGTTGGAAAGAATACTAATGAGCCAAAAGAAAACACTGGAGAGCATCCCCACCTGGCTTCAAACTAACTGCTGAGATTTCCCCTTTTCAAACCTAAGACTAAAAATCAACGGAGGTTGTCAAGCCTTAAAAAATGCTGTCCTAGAAATGAATGGGATTGGAGCAGGTTATCAGCAATGGCTAAAGATAAATCTGTGATGGAAAATAAGTGACTGCAGCAAGCAGGCTGTCTCCCAATCCATGTACTGAAGGTAACAGAGCTGAATGAAACTTACTACATCTTGCGAGAAAAGATTAAAGCTTAGGTAATGGGAAATGTGTTTAGGGCTTTTTAAGCTTTATTTCTTTGCTCTGGTTGTAACGTACCTTTGGGGTGAATGAATAAATAAATGATGATTTGTTTTGAAGAAACTGTTTTGAGTCACTTTAATCACCAGCTGCCACAGACTCCCAAAGGAAAAAGGGTTACAATTGGGCATACTGGGTTAATACAGTTGGCAAGTAAAGTTGCTGCCATCCAGACAGTCAAATGTGACAGAATCATGCAGTTCCAATAGGGATGAGTGAAGGCAGATAAGCCTTTCATCCAAAGGCATACTGCGTAAAAAGGGCTCAGAAACGTAGTATTTCTTAAACTTAGGACACACAGTGTAAAGTAACTGTGGTTCTTTAAGATGCCACACCAATTATTGATCCTAAAGTGTGCGCGCCTGCATATCATGTGTGCAAGATCAGGTATTTGTAACAGTGTCCATCAGATATGCACAGATGTTGTGCGTCCTTCTGGTTGACCAAGGTAGTATTTGATCAATGTCACTGGTTACTACTATAGCTAACTTACAGATTTTTTAATATTCGAATACTCCTGAAACAGGAAGAAAAGACTGGTTGTTCTGTGAAAGAGTGAATCTTGATGTTCAGTCGGAGGAGTACATCAACTGTTTGGTAACACAGTAAGACACAACGTGCTGTTCACTTGTGGCATCATTTGTGAGGAGATGGCCTTGAACACTGGATTATAGCCAGAAAGAGAAGGAAGGCATTCAAAACAGCTTAGACCTGTGGACATAATTGAGAAAAATCCTGGGTATGTCAAACATGCATAATTTCTTGTTTCCTGGTAGTTCAGAAAAAAGATAGGCAAAGACAGGAAAGAAGATGTTCTGGTTTAAATTCTAAGACATTAGCAATGAACTTTGAATGAGGGCTTAATACTACCTTACTCTTACTGACTGTCATAAAATGGCTTTTTTGTTAAGTGCCTGATGATCACACACTTTTGCAGCCAACGTGATAGACAATCTTTGAAGTGAGGTGAAACAGGGGAGACTTCTGAAAAAAAATTCAAATGGAGACTCCGTGAGTTTCAGGAGAACTATAGTGAAGCCCCAGGTAGGAATAAGCTTTCTAATCTGTGGGTAGAGTACATGAATAGTTACTTGAGAAACGTCTGTTCACTGATGTAGAAAAAAAAACAACACACACAAAGGGATGGCAAATTGAAATTGCAAGATGGACCTTAATGGATCCAAACAAAAGGTTTTCTGCTTTAAGTAGAATTAATTACAAAGGAACTTGGGTACTGAAAGCTGGACAGGTGAAAACTGTGTTGGGCTACCCATATCAAGAAACTTTTCCATTAAAAAAAAAAATATATCATTTTCTTCTGATTCAGAAGAGTATGTTTGTCTGCTCTCTATCAGGATTGCCTAGATCAGGCAGGGAGTAGTCCCTGTCAATGGTACTCAGAGAACTCCTTTTCTGGGCTTGACTTTCTTATGCTACAGTCTGGTACACTGGCTGCCTATACACGTGCTCAGGGATAGTGCGCTAATTAAAATGCCTCACTGTCATGTGTATTAAGTCCCCACATATTCAAAAATGACTGTGGGATGCTTTATTTAAACCTCATTGGATGACGTTTAGATGAAGTTGAAGTGCCCCAGCAGCTATTTTTAAATGTGTGGGGGCTTAGAAAGGTGATAGTGAGGCCACGGTCAAGTGTGCTAATTAGAATGTGAACCAGCACATGTACAGGCAGCCACCAGTTTTTCATTCTACAGGTCGAGATTTCCTAAGATGTGCGGCTTATGTTAAGAAACTGCTCCTTGGTGACAGACGGTTTACAGGAC